GGTTGCAGGACATAAGGTCCATATTTAAAAATCAATTGTATTTCTATACAGCAGCAATAAACAATTAAATAATGGAAAAATCATTTGCAATTGCACAAAAAGCATATGATACTGGAAATAAAATGAACAAAACATGTACAATATTTATGTGCTGAAATCTAAAAATATCAATAAAATAATTTTTTAAAGATCGAAATAAGTATACAGATAAGCTATGCTTAGGGATAGATATACTCAATATTTCTGAAACAACTCTGTCCGAATTGAACCACAGATGCAGTGCAATCCTGCTGGAAATTCCAGAAGGATTTTTTATTTTTGTAAATATTGGCAAACTGATTATGAAATTTATATGAAAAACCAAAGAGCACAGATCATCCCAAATATTTTGATAAAGAGGAACAAAGTTGAAGGACTCCCATTCCCTGACTGTATGAATTCCTACAAAGCTATAGTAATTAAGTGTATAGAACTGATGTAAGAAGATGGCATATAGATCACTTTACAAAACAGATAACTCAGAAATGGAATCAAACACATATGATCAACTGATTTATGAAAAATGATCAGGTGATTTTATGAAGAAAGGATAATCTTCTTAACAAACAGTACTGGAACAATTGGAGACCATATGCAAACCAACCAACCAACCTGCAAAAAGAAAAACCCACAAAAATGACCCACACACTTTGTCCATAGATAGAATTCAGCTTTAAATGGATCATAGGCCTCAGTGTAAAACCTAAATTATAAAAGTTCCAGAGAAAAACATAGGAGAAAATCTTTATAACTATGAATTTAGCTAAGATCACTAGATAGGAGCTTGAAGTATAAGTCATTAAAATTTTTATAAATAGGAATTCTTCAAAATTAAAAACTTCTTTTTGAAAATCAATAGAAAATGGGAAGACATGTCACAGAATAGGAAAAATGATTTACAAACAAATATATGATGAACTTTTAGCCAGAATATTTAATGATTGCTAGTAAACCAATAATAAAAAACAAGTCAATATAAATGAACAAAATCCTGAAATTTTATTTAAGAACTAATACAGATTGTCTAAGATGGTGGCATAGTTAAACGCCTGTACTCACCGCCTCCCACAACCTCATCAAAATTACAACTAAAATACAGAACAACCATCATCCAGAATTGAAGGAAAGCTGGCTGAATAGAAGTCATACAATGAGAGAAGCAAAGAAGAAAGCACACTGAAACTGGTAGGAGATGCGGAGGTGCAGAACAGGCTGGTCTGCCACCCAGGTGTGCTGCTTTTTTAATTAGAAGGGAGATCCTCTCTGCAGAGGCTGCCCAGAGGAGCAAGGGGTCCCACCCCACACCAGACCTCCTGCCCAGGGTCCCAGAGCTGGGAAAAGAAGTCCCTATGGGCAGTAAGAACTACGGGTTGTGAAAACCTGTGTGGATTGGGGCTCAGTGACACGGAGGCTGCTGGAGACCCAGCTGCTCCTCTTAAAAGGCCAGCACCACAAGCTGAACTTACATGCTCCCGCTCCCTCTGAGCTCCAGTGCTGGGCCAGGCTCTGGAGGACCCAGACACATTCGAGGAGGACCTGGACTGTCTGGAATCTGGGCAGGAACTTGGGGGCAGCTTCCAGACAGAGGTGCTCTCAAGGATCATTGTTCCTATGCTGGGACCTCTCCAGTCACAGGGCTGACTGGCAGCCATTTCCTTTTGCTCCACCCTGGTGATTCCCTGAGACCCCAGCTCATCCAATTTATAACCCCACCCAAGCTGTGTGCAGCAGCTTTTACACATTAATGGCCTTTCCTTGCTCAGGGCAAAATCTTGCAAACAAGCTGCAGCTGGATTAGGGAGCCCAAAACCTATCAATAAAAGGTCCAAGACCCAGCACCAGCACCAGTACCAACCTGCCTTGCTTCAGGCACCTCCTCTGGGCACTTCCAAACAGATACAAGGAGGAGGAATCTGCAGATGTCTCTGTACCTCCTGCTGGGTGGCCCTAGGCAGTGGCTTTCTTTGCATCTCCCTGGACACCCAAAAGTCAGTATACCCAGTGGTCAATGTGAAACCATACCAGATTACAACTGTACACATCCATAAGCAACACACTCAAGGGGCAGACTCAGAGAGCACCAAAGCCTCATTGAAGCAAGTCCTGCTCCACAGGGGTTTCTACTGCACAGCAGCTCTCCCACTGTAGTCGCAGCTGTCCTCACAGCCAATTGGCCTGAAGGTCAATTCCTCCCAGTGACACCAAAAGCAATCAAGTCTCAATTACAAGACTGCTCACAGCCCGCAAAGCGGTGCACCTAGAGCTCCCAGCTCAGGTGACTGGGGAGACTGAGCCACTAGGCTCTATAGAACACGGCTTCAGACAATGCCACATTACAACCCTATCACATCCAGAAGTGACACTCAAGGGGCAGACTCGGTGAGCACCAAAGCCTCATTGAAGCAAGTCCTGCTCCACAGGGGTTTCTACTGCACAGCAGCTCTCCCACTGTAGTCGCAGCTGTCCTCACAGCCAATTGGCCTGAAGGTCAATTCCTCCCAGTGACACCAAAAGCAATCAAGTCTCAATTACAAGACTGCTCACAGCCCTCAAAGCGGTGCACCTAGAGCTCCCAGCTCAGGTGACTGGGGAGGCTGAGCCACTAGGCTCTATAGAACACCTACTATACAAGGCCACTTTACCAGCTCAAGGAGACATAGCAGCTCTACCCAATACATAGAAACAAACACAGAGAAGTAGCCAAAATGCAGAGACAGGGAGGAATGTTTCAAATGAAAGAAATGGAAGAGAGAAGACTACTGGATATAGAGTTCAAAACCATGGTTATAAGGTTACTCAAGAATCTTCTAGAAACTTCCAAAAAAAAGAAAAAAAAAGGAAAAGAACCATTTAGAAATGAAGCATATACTGACTAAAATAAAGAATAATATACAGGGATTCAGCAGTGGAATGGAGGTTTGTGAGAATAAAATCAATGATTTGAAATATGAAGAAGCAAAAAACACCCAACCAGAAGAGCAAAAAGGAAAAAAAAATATGTGAGAATGGTG